TCTTTTATATTGTACTCAACAATTAACCAATATATTGTGTTCATTGCATTAAAATTAAAAAAAGTGTATGTCTTTCAAAATATTTGAGTTTGACAAATCGCTGTGCAAGTACTATGTGACAAAAAAATTGCAACACCCACCATTTTATTTACTAGGGCATCTGCTTTAAAAAAATATATAATGTTTGGGGGTTCAAAGTAATTTACTAGCAAAAAATACAGATTTTTGTTTTTTTTTTATGTAACATCAAGTGTCAGAAAAGCCTTGTCCTGTCAGGTGGTTAGAAGAGTGAGTGATGTGTGGCATAAGCTTCCAATGCTAGGCATAAAATGCCCCACCCCCCCTCCAAATGACCCCTCTTTGGAAAGTAGACACCCCAAACTATTTTCTGAGAGGCACAAAGTTGGCACTTAAATGGTATATTCCTCACACACCATGGGTATACAGTGGATAGAAAAAGTCTACATACCCCTGCTAAAATATCAGGTTTCTGTGATGTAAAAAAATTAGACATAGATAAATCATTTCAGAACTTTTTCCACCTTTAATGTGACTTATAAACTACAACTCAATTGAAGAATAAACTGAAATCTTTTTTTTTTGGGGGGGGGGGAGAGTAAACATAAAAAAATTTAATATAATACGGTGAAGTGTGCACACACTCCTGGGGAAGCTGTGTTCAAATTTAAGAAATCACATTGTTAAATAGGAGTCAGTACACACCTGTCATTTAAAGTGCCTCTGATTAACCCCAAATAAATTCAGTTGTTCTAGTAGGTCTTTCCTGACCATGACAAAAGCCATGGTCCGCAGAGAGCTTCCAAAGCATCAGAGGGATCTCATTGTTAAAAGGTATCAGTCAGGAGAAGGGTATAAAAGAATTTCCAAGACATTAGATATACCATGGACCACAGTGAAGACAGTCATCATCAAGTGGTGAAAATATGGTGCAACAGTGACATTACCAAGAACTATACATCCCTCCAAAATTGATGAAAAGACGAGAAGAAAACTGGTCTGGGAGGCTGCCAAGAGGCCTACAGCAACATTAAAGGAGCTGTAGGAATATCTGACAAGTACTGGATGTATGGTACATGTGGCAACAATCTCCCATATTCTTCATATGTCTGGGCTATGGGGTAGAGTGCTAAGACGGAAGCCTTTTCTTACAAAGAAAAACATCTAAACCTGGCTATATTTAGCAAAAACACATCTGAAATCTCCCAAAAGTATGTGGGAAAATGTGTTCTAGTCTGATTAAACCAAGGTTGAACTTTTTGGCCATTATTGCAAAAGATATGTTTGCCGCAAAAACAACACTGCACATAACCAAAAGAACAACATACCCACAGTGAAGCATGGTAATGGCAGCATAATGCTTTGGGGTTGTTTTTCTTCAGCTGAAGATGGGGCCTTCAGAAAGCTGAACATGAAGAGGAACGTCATCTTTCAGCATGACAATGACTCAAAGCATACATCCAAATCAACAAAGGAATGGTTTCACCAGAAAAATATTAAAGTTTTGGAATGGCCCAGCCAGAGCCAAGACCTGAATCCGATCGAAAATCTGTGGGGTGATCTGAAGAGGGCTGTGCACAGGAGATGCCCTGGCATTCTGACAGATTTGGAGTGCTTTTGCAAGGAAGAGTGGGCAAATATTGCCAAGTCAAGATGTGCCATGCTGATAGACTCATACCCAAAAAGACTGAGTGCTGTAATAAAATTAAAAGGTGCGTCAACAAAGTATTAGTTTAAGGGTGTGTACACTTCTACAACCATAATATTTTAGTTTTTTATTTTTACTCTCCTCCATCTAAAAGATTTCAGTTTGTTGTTCAACTGAGTTGTACAGTTTATAGGTTACAATAAATGTGGAAAACGTTCTGAAATTATTTATCTTTCTCTTGTTTTTTTACATCAAAGAAACCTGACATTTCAACAGGGGTGTGTAGAATTTTCATATCCACTGTAAGTGGAATTACTGCACAAAAATACAGTCTGTTACTTCTATCGAGGATGGGGATACCACATGTGAGAAACTTTTTGGCATCTGGCCACGTACAGAACCCCAAAATCCAAGAAGCACCTTCAGGCTTTTAAAAGGGCTTTATTTCCTCTTTACCATTCCTGACTACCTATCAAAGTTTCGGAGGCCCCCTCAGAATAGTACAAACCCCCCCCCCCCCAAATTACCCCTTTTTGAAAAGTAGACACCCCAAAGAATTTGATAAGAGGCATGGTGAGTATTTTTCAGATTTCCTTTGTTGTAACAAGTTTCTTGAAAATAAAGAAAGAAAACAAAAACATATTTTTTTTCTTTTCTTTTTCAAAACTTTGTGAGAAAAATTAGATCTGCAAAATACTCACTATGCCTCTTATTAAATTACTTGGCGTGTCTACTTTCCAAAAAGGGGTAATTTTGGGGAAAGTTGATGCTATCCTGGTAGTATTGTACCTGTTATAGGTAGTCAGGAAGTGAAATGAGGAAATGGGGAAGTTGCGCACCTTCAGGCTTTTAAAGTAGTTGTTGGATTACGGGCTCCGGTAAGCTAGGCTCCCAAAAAGTCTCACACGTGGTATCGCCATACTTGGTAGAAGTAGCAGCATGTATTTATTCCACATGTATCCATGGCATGTGTGAGCAATATAGAATTTAAATGACAACTTTGTGTAAAAAGAAAATAAAAATAATTATTATTTTTTTGTCATTTTCCAAAAGCTTGTTGAAAAAAAAAATCATCCATGGACTCAAAATGCCTCTCAGCAGATAACTTAGGGTGTCTACTTTCCAAAAAGGGGTCATGTTTGGGGTGTTTGTACTGCCCTGGCTTTTTAGCACTCAAGAAATGTGATAGGCAGTCAGAAAGTAAAAGCCGTGTAAATTCCAGTATCTATATCATAGTTTGTAGATGCTATAACGTTCACACAAACCACTTAATATAGTTAATTGGATTTTTTTTTTATCAAAGACATGTAGCAAAATACATTTTGGCCTAAATTTATGACGAATTTTGAGTTTATTGGATATTGTTCATTACAGAAATGAGAAAAAATTGTTTGTTTTCAGAATTTTCAATCTTTTTTTGTTTATAGCGCAAAAAATAAAAAGCTGGAGGTGATCAAATACCACCAAAAGAAAGCTCTATTTGTGTGAAAAAAAAGACATATCATTTATGTACAGAATTGCATGACTGCACAATTGTCAGTTAAACTAGTGCAGCACCGTATAGCAAAAATGGCGTAAATTCCAACATCTAGAAATTAGAAAATATAGTTTCTTTCAATATGTTTGGTCTTTCTTGTTTATCGCACAAAAAAAAAAAAAAAACCCGGAGGTGATCAAATACCACCAAAAGAAAGTTCTATTTGTGTGAAAAAAGGACATGCATTTAATTTATGTACAGCATTACATGACTGTGCAATTGTTAGTTAAATGGCGTAAATTCCAGTATCTATGCCATAGTTTGCAGACGCTATCATTTTCACACAACCAATATACACTTATTGGGATTTTTTTTTACCAAAGACATGTAGCAAAATACATCTTGGCCTGAATTTATAATGAAATGTGAGTTTATTGGATGTGCTTTATAACAGAAATGAGAAAATATCATTTTTTTCAACATTTTCGGTCTTTTTTTTACAGCGCAAAAAATAAAAAACCCAGAGGTGATCTAATACCACCAAAATAAAGCTCTATTTGTGTGAAAAAAGGGACATACATTTATTGGGGTACAGCATTACATGGTCAGGAAGGGGGGTAAATCTTCCAGAGGGCAAGTGGTTAAAAAATTTAAAAACAGAATCACTGAGTTAGAAAAAGGATCACCCCCCTCCTACAAATGACTTGTAAAGTCAATCAGGTATAGCTAATCACCTAAGTCTACTGGCTGTGCTTGCAAATTGGTTCCTGATAGACTATCTTTCAATATAAGAGCCACCTCTGGATACAGTCTTATAAAAGTCAATGGGGATAAACTTCACAGACTATAACATGGAGCACCTGACCAAACTGATCACAATAGAAAGTGCATGTAAACACAGGCTTTGTGTTGTGCTGACTCTCACATAAGTGAAAAACCTAAACTCACTTGCAAAGTCTTGACAAGATGTTCCCTCAGATTTACATGGTTGATCAGGTTATTAAAAAAAAAAAAAAAAAAAAAAAAAAAAAAAAGGACACATGACCATCAACTTCACCCAACAGAAAAAACAATATGGATATAAACTGAAAACCTGCATTCACAGAACCTTACTGTAAGGCAAAAATTATTTATAAAATGTGGTCCAAATTACAAGAAGACTCCTTTCTGACCTCTTTAATGCTATCAAATATTGCCTGGGTCAGCAATCTACAGTTATTACTTATAATTAACAATTATTTGTAAATTCTGTTAAGTTTTTTTGGCAGCATACAGCTATCCTTTGCTAGAGGTGTGCAATCCCTCCATCTCTCAGAATTCAGGTGCAGGCTGAAAAGGAGCTGTTGTCGCTCCAAGCATACTGCAAAAAGCAGCTGCACACCAAAAAAGTTCAAAAAGGTTAAGGTTTACTCCAGCAATAGCCACAGCTGTAGACCCACCCAGAAAGCAGCCACTAAAGCATTTCACCACACTGAGCTTAATCGACTTAGACAACTATTCTGTGTCTTTAGAAATGCATCCAACATATTTAAAAATCATCTACGGAGTTGGCTAAAACTAGCACCTAGTCTAGTCACAGTTTTTACTTAAGTTTTTCTGTATGGAGAAGTTAAACTTTTTCTTTTTCCTCCTGATGAAAAGAGTTCTCCTTTGTCATTTGCAAAAATCTTAAAGTGAACAGCTTTAATCATAACCTACCTTGACCCAAACGTGGATGCAACACACACACACACGATGACACACTGGTTTCTTTTCTAAACTGTCTATTATAATATAAATAGTCAAATAACTTTTATTTGGCAGAGCACAAGGTAATAGACTGTTTTTGCTTTTAAGAGGATGAAAAAATTAAATTACCCTGAATTGCGTGAAGTCTGAGTATGTTGTGTCAAAGGTCTTCCTATGAGCTTCCAAGAGTATGTCAATAATATATTTTTTGTTCTTCTGACATTTTGGGTCTTTGAGACTCTCGCAGTGCTTCCTCTTCTTTACGTTTCGTTATCATGTCCCTCTTTCTTTGGACCTCTTCATCTGTGAGGATAACTGCATGAAAAAAAGTCTTATGTGAATCTTGTTGGTTTCTGAGAACACCAAACCATCCTAGGATAAGCTTGTGAAATAACTAGCAATCAATGACATATACTTGAAAATGGTAAGTTTAAAAAAAGAACTCTGGGTTGAACAAAAACTTTTCTATAGAATAGGCAGTCATGATGGTACAATAGTCTAGAAGGGCACCAATGCAGGTTCTCCAAATGTTTTACAGCAGAGCAGATGCAGACAATATTTTGTTTTTTTTTAATCTACGTGGAATAAAGTCTTACAGTTTCATGATAAATGAATATTTACCTTTATACAACTGTGTCAAAACACAGAATTAATCAAATATATACTAAAATGTGCTGAACCCACATCAACAATATCCGCGTACATCAATGATGATTAAGCAACTAGGTATACAGCCACTTCACTTTAAGACAAAGCTTCATGCTGTATATGTTATTAATTGACTCAAGCTTTTTTTTTTAGTTACAATTTTTGCCACAGTTTACGCACCAATTCTGTCACAGCTGATTCGCTGAAAAATAAATGCATACATGTCTTTTTTGAATGTGAATCCCCAACCCAGTGTGAGTCGTTCCTTTTTGCTATGACCCCTCCAACATCTGTATGGTACTAAAGGACAATATCTGTGGACCTCTACAAGGTATAGGGACCACCTAATCAGAAATGTTGTTTCTATCTCTACACTCTATAGACAGCTTGGACGTTGTAAGGAAATATAGCTTATTAACTAACACCCATTTTGTATAATGCATCCATTCGGAGATGTGTGAACAGTTAGTTTTGCTTGTAACCTCTCTTTTGTTTTCTGAGAATAGTTTCATTTCACTGTAAACAGAACCACCTTATATGGTATGCCTCAGCTATTTGCAGTTTCTCTTCTTCACGTAATTATATTGATAAGAATGGAATGTTTCATTGGTCATCCTAAGATTAATCAAGGCCTACTGAGTTCTGTATAACATTTCTTGTCATGCATAAAACTTTCAGAGATTTAGCTTGCACACTTTGGTGCCTGGAGCTTTATTTCTCCCAGGCCTGGTGGGAAAAATATGAGAACATTTTGGGCTACTGACAGAAATTGTTCTTTTCAATTTGTCATTGAGTGGGATAAAAGATGTGGCCGGACAGGTAAGCTGAGCTATATGTGTCTTAGTTCTACCTGGATTGCCCCCGTTTGAGACCCAGTGATAGTAGCCAAAGTTACTGTTTGAGATTGTTGGATCTCACGGGAATTCTTTGAGGTTGGACCTCAAAAGGGATTTCAAAGGCTTGAGAGCCTCTGAGGAAAAATTGCCTAGGCAAGTATAATATTGTGAATTCACAGCAGTCCTCATTTATTTTTGCCATTTTAAGTGCTTATTTGCTATACGTTAAGAAACTGCTAAGTAGTAATTTTATTACAGAATAGGGATATTACAAGTGTCCATACTTTTAAGTGTTAAACTCCTGAACTGTCGAGAAGGCTTTATTGGGGTTACAGCCTCTCTGCTTCAGAGAATAAGTGCTAACACTGTAATAATTTACTGCTTTGCCTAACAGCTGTTTTGCGTCAACATGGGTCAGGTCCAAGGTAAAATATCCAAAGCTTCCACGTAAAGTGCTAAGTGATGTTGCAAAAAAAAAAAAAAAAAGGATGATTTTTTTTCCCTCAGATTTCCAAGGGCAGACAGACCATTACAATCTCCTGTAGTTCAGGCAGAAAATATACAGAGTCCTGATAGTACAGAAAGGGAGAAGGCAAGGGTAGATGGGGGGGAGGAGGAAGAGGAGAAGAAGAGTTACATGAGGCAGACAGTGCTCACAGCAGGATATGAAATTAATAATTGACGGAATTAAATTTTGGGATATAACATGGACTCAAGGTTTGACTGGACAAAGGTGCCTACAATATATGTTCTAGTTGATCCTGGAACCCGGGCAGCCACTCGTGTATGGCTGAAGGAGAAAGGTGTGGGAGGAGGTGACCTAATAAAGTCACCAAATTTTCCTTTTTGAAATTTTTATGGGCAAAAGGTCCTTTGGTAGTTATGCCGGGTAATTTAGAATTAATCCAGGAAATATATGTCCAGGAATTGATTAGGGTGTCGAAAGGTGTATACAGTGATGTCTCTCTCTCGTTTTCTTTTTCCCCCACAGATAATCCAACCCACCCGTACAAGCCAGGAGATCGGTTAGTGGTTAAAGAACTTCAAAGACAGGACCGCAGATCCGTCGTACGGGGAACCCACCATAGTGACAGCTGTGACGTGAACTGCATTTCTGACTGCTGATTCCAACATCTGGATACATGCTTCTAGTGTAAAGAGGATCCCGGAGGCACCAGAAAACCAGAAGCAACAGACGGAACAAGGAAAAGAGACAGACCTATAAACACCCTCCAATCTTCAAGATGCTGCTTCATCCAGAGATGGCCTGGAAGAATTTTCTTTTGATCGGTTGTCTCTCAGTGATAACTTTTTCAGTGGTTTACTGAGCTAGCCACTGCAATTATCACCCAGAAGAACTGCCTCCAATCTTTGGCCACAACAGTGAGACTGTGAATGACACTGAATAAAAAAGAGCAGAAAAGATTGTTTACTGAAAATATGTCACTATTGAAATTTAAGTATAGGTATGCCAAGCTCTCAGGAATCGAGAGTTCTTTGGTTTGCAGTATGCTCCACCCTGAAACTGTGAACATTCTTTTCTATACTGCACCAGAAAATGTGACATCAATGTTTATTGGAAATCTGAGTATCATACTTAGAAATGTTACTACAAGGCCTAATTTTGGGGTGTTGGGAGTTATGATGGAACCTGAATGGTGTTTTCATTTAGGCAACAAATCAAATGAAGGAAGGAATTTTGTAGCAAGTCTAAACATATTGTCACTGGGAAGGTACCAGAGGATAGTAACTTTGTACAAACAAATATCACTAAGAATAGATGAAAAAAACACAACATAGGGAACATAACTACAGGTGTTCTTTTGAATGTCTTTTGAATGTTGTATTGAGGAAACAGGTGCTCATGAATGAAATGAAAATAGAACAAATGGGTGCAGCATTAACGGGCTGTGAGAGTCTACTACTGACCATGAGTGTTGTACATGGATACATAACACATCTGCTGAGATCCCAGACCACTATGAAGTCATTGAGAATCATAGAGCCCAGGTAAATGCTTTACAAGTTCAAGCTCGATCCATACCCGAAGATGGCTGGAACCCTTTCAAAGGGTTGGGAAGTGTTGGAGATTTTCTTGGATGGTTTAAGAAAGTAGGCATGTCGATTTTGTTTTTTTTTTCAATAATATTCATATATTCTATGTTGTTGCTAAACTTTGCATGTGCATTTGTAACAAGTTTTTAAAGAACCCGGATTTATATTGGAAACAACTGTGAAACTTGATGTGCTGTCACTATGTGATAAAAGAGAGGAACTGTAAGGAAATACGGCTTATTAACTGGCATCCATTTTGTATAATGCCTCCATTCAGAGATGTGTGAACAGTTAGTTTTGCTTGTAACTTCTCTCTCGTTTTTTGAGACTAGTGTAATTTCACTGTAAACGGAACCACCTTATATGGTATCCCTCAGCTATTTGCAGTTTCTGTTCTTCAGGTAACTATATTGATAAGAATGGAATGTTTCATTGGTCATCCTAAGATTAAGCAATACCTACTGAGTTCTGTATAACAGTTCTTGTCATGCATTAAACTTTCAGAGATTTAGCTTGCACACTTCGGTGTCTGGAGCTTTATTTCTCCCAAGACTGGTGGGAAAATATTCAAGGACACTTTGGGCTACAGACAGAAAGTGACCATTTAAAGTGTCAAGATGAAAGTTTCACAGGTGGACCATATTGTTTCAAATAAACTGGACGCTCGTTTTTACTGGCGAGTACCCGAGAATTTTGTTACTGTCAGAGGTGTTCCACAAAGGCCACTGAAAAAGCCACACTATATGAATGGCTGGAAGGAAGGCAGGGTTATCTATGATTAGTGTGAAGTGACTTGGAAAGTAAGAAGCAAAAAGTTTGTATGAATAGTTAGTGTCAAAATAGGATTATCCATGTCTGGGGTGAAGTGAACTGGACAGAAACAAACAAGAGGTTTTTCAATGGCCAGCCACACACACATTGAGTGTAGATGAGCGAATATAAATAAACTGAATCATACATAGCATCCACGTAGCATAAATCAATGTCTTATTCACTTTACAAAAAATGTATTTTTACTACAATAAATTTCCATCAACCTTCTAACTGTATCTGTATTAAAAGTAACAATAAACAGGCAACAATTTCAAACATGCCATCAAGTCAAGTGATCTAATGCATCTTACGGTTGATCTGCTGAAGGCAAATACACTGTGCACTTTTAGTGTTTAGTGAATGTGGTGAGGCTCTGATGATTTACATCACCCAATCATGTGCAAGCAAAAATGTTTTTTTTTTTTTCTTGCACCCAATAGGGTATTCTTTACAAAGTGAAGCTTGCCCACATTCACAAAGCTCTGGTGATAATTCCCTTGTAGAGTACAACTGTGCACAGTGTATTTGCCTTTAGTAAATCAACCCCATCTTGTAAGTTAAGTATGAATCAAGTGCAGGCACTTTAACCAGACCAGTTGTCTGAGGAAAAGTGAGTGGATCACTGGGAGGCACAGTGAGATGTTGTTTGAACAGGTAGGGAGCCTGCATAGCCCATGCTGGGCAATTAGAGCCAGGAGGATGAAAGCCTTATTTTGTGTTCTTTCTGTTGGCAAGAACCCTTGTGTGGGAAACCACATGTACAAGAACATTTCTTTTAATAAAAGTGGGCAAGAAAAGCCCTTAAAATGCAAGTTGGCAAAAGGATTGAGCTCTTGA